AACACTGCTTCTGAACGCATTTATATTCAATGGAGCTGCACTTTGGCCTATCGAATAAAGAAAAAATGGATTCCACCAGAGCGCTTTTGTTTTTGAGAATAGCGGGTATAAACATTCATATCACACATACTTATTTACTTGTTTCAATATCTTTTTAAATAAAATACCGTACCAAGCGCTTTATTGACTCAAGGTTTCCCAGGCGCCATGAATAACTTTCGAAGCGATCGAATAAATTTCCCCATTAGGCATCAAATACCATTCCCCACAAAGACCTGCTTATGACCCAATGCTGATCCATGAGATCCTCCCTTTATGCCAGAAGGGAAGCGATGAAGAAGAAGCTGTGTGGTTTACCTAAAATACATAATTCGCATCGATGCCAAGAATTGTCGCTTGGATAGGCCTATTTTACGGGATCCGGAAAAGGCGTTTCCAAATGCGATTATACGGAGTTGCTAAAGAGTCACGCCACCACGCGCCGTCCTCTGGATGACTTCAGTATCATCAACTGGAGCGACATGTTGGAACATTTAGCTGCTCGATAGCCCTGATGGATTACATTACAGTAGCATTAAAATAGAACTACGCGACGGAAAGAACAGTGTGTCGAATAAAATAAATAATTAGTAGAAGAAAAACCAAATAAAACAAAAGAAATTTAAATTTCAAAAATTAATAGCAAGCTAACTATTTTTCTTTTGAAATAATCGTCGATGCCTTCTCGGTCGCGGATGACTGTGGCTTTGGTTAGAAGCACGGACTGATGAAATCTGTAGCAACAATTGCCGCCAACAAGCGCGAGTCATTAACTGCTCAACATCGTTTACTTATAAGCAAATGTTAACCCGAAGTATTCACCACTGATAATGTTGGCCCAGATAACAACGAAAGCAACATAATGTCATGCTGTCTGACAACAGGCTCTCCCTTTCAATTTTCGTTAGAGAAAAAGAGATAACAGGCGGTACAATCAATAGCTTTAAACTAGTACGTATGAGTAGATAGTGTTGCCGTGAGGTACACTCGAAAATTTCAAATGTAAGTGCGTCAAATCAAATTTCGAGCCGCTCCGTCTGTCACTTCGTTTGTGGTAGTACAGTGCAGCGAATTCGCTACCACGAAGGCTTACAGGCATTTCGCACCAGTAGGCAACCAAATTGATTACTCAATCAGAATACCGTAGCTAGAACCCGAGAATAATTCGTTTCGTTTTTTTTTTTTTGACGCAGGACTACGTCTGTGATTTCTATATGGGGGTACACTTTGTGAAAACCGAAAATGGAACATGTAACAAAATTATGAAAGATTTTGAACATTAACAACTCAGCTGACCCTGAACCAATTGAATCATTTTATGACCAATCGATCAGATATATCGCTACGCATCTGTTAAATTTAATACTTTAGCATTTTTCAAAATGTCACTATTGAAAATTGCACGAATGTGCAACTGTTGCTTTGATAATTAAAATTATCACCGATTGCCTGCGAAAAGCGATTTCCCTAACACAGATTTCAAAGTTGAATTCCATTCGGTCTCACCAAACGGTGTTTATTCAATCACCGCGTGATGAGTGGTGGTGTGCACAACGAAAGGCTGCCTGCAATCAGCGAGCTGCAGCCCACATGAGCGCCCATAGAAGAAGGAAGAAGCCGCACCGCTATTGATCGGAATCAGTAGCTCTTCGTGAGTCGCTGTGGGCCATCTATGTCAAGCGCGTCATACTAAAGAGTATAAAAATATAGAACCCCGCTCAAATTCATATTCCTGCACAAAACACAAGCTCCTGCAGCAATTAACAAATAAGATTTATTATATAAAACCACGTAGTCCTACGTCACCATTGCGTACAACCCCATAGGGCTGTCCTTTGTAGTTCTTTTTTAAATAAAAGGAATAGTATGGACTTCAGTGAAATCCGTTTTCAAATCCGAAATAGACCCAAATCATGTTGTTTCATTACTAAGGCTGTGAACCATTTGCCGAGTTAAATTTAACTTGTGGTTAAAAGTGACATTTCGAAAGTTAGTTTGAATGTTCGAAAATCCCCGTGCTGTCGATCGACCGATTTTCGAGCCACGGTTGTCAAAATTTAACTTCTTGTCTGTCAGAAATAACCATGCTCGGATAGCAGGGTCAATCGATAACTTTTCATCTGTCAAATTTTAACCAAAAGTTAAAATAATTCACCAAATGGTTCAGAGCCTAAGTAGACCTTTAGATTGCGAACAGTTCAGTTGAGGAATCCCTCACTAGTGTGCCATTTAACTTCTAAATGCTTACTTTAAATTGATACATCCACTAGATAGAAGCAACAATCAATTCGAAACTAACGATTTTAAATTGGCTCACCACATGACTAGCCTTTTGCTCAGTACCTGGAGCAATTGAAGTATATTTTTTTACATACATAACAGTATTATGGTCTTCATTACAAAACCTCGTTTTTGACGGTTTGTGGTCGAGAAGTTTTTACTCAACTCAATTGAAGCTTCTTTTTCCGGGGAAAGGCTTTAAAGATTTAACGTACAAACCGAGGGGGACGACTCTATCTACGATACAGAGAAGATTGTGTTTTGCTGTGGTCAGCTGCACGCACGCTGTGTAGATAGAAGGAAGATTTATGTAGATTTTGAAGATTTTCTGCAAAAAGATGAAGCGCGATGCAAGTAGATGCGAGAAATGAAAGATGATTTTTCGAAGATTGATTTGCTAGTGTGAGATTTTTTGAGCATCTAGAATTGAGATTTAGATGTGTCGCCCCCCTCGGTACAAACAAATGACGGAAGAATTAGTTAAACGTTTTGATAAAAAAGACTCAGATGTCATACTCAGCTATAAATTTTTGACTCGCCGTCAAGGACAGTATGAGAAAGCAATAGATTTAGTCCTTGCAGTTAAGCAACTAGCAGAGGAATGTGATTTTGGAGATTTTAAGGACCGCGCAATTCGAGACGTGTTAGTTATCGGTGTTTTCGATCGTCAGCTGCAAAAGCGACAATTTGAGACTTGAGGTAAGTAAGTATGCTGCAGTTGCGAAATATAAACAGTTTTTCTTTATTTTTTACTTGATTTTTTTTTCTGGCGATCTTGTTTTCCGTACTGAGTATCAATGCTCTCGACGCCAGGAAGGCAGCTCCCACACCTGGACCCTACCTATTGACCCATCAACTCATGAACCGGAGTGATTTTATGCCACAGAAAAGTTTTTTTTTTTCAATTGTAATTCTGATTGATACTAAAAGAATACAAAACATTTAATCAATAAACATATTTTTATTACTACTGCGTATATTTTCAGGCTTAATGAAATAAATATTATTGAATCAACAAGAAATCTCTTTTAAAAATAAACATATTTTTTTTTTTGACCCAGCTGCCAAATTTGGCAGCTCACGTCAAAACCATGAAAGCTCTTGTAAATTCGAAAAGAATTTCTTTTTGATTTATAAATCATATAACAATCCATGGGTTTTTAGAAACAAAGATACTAGATTGTTGAAATAATAATGATTTCTTTTTGCAGCCAAAACAAAATGAAATTCTTATTAATTTTACGTCAAATATTATTACGTTTAAAATATTTTTTTCTGCGTGGAGGGGGCGACACATCTAAATCTCAATTCTAGATGCTCAAAAAATCTCACTCTAGCGAATAAATCTTCGAAAATTCTTCTTTCATTTCTCGCATCTACTTGCATCGTGCATCATCTTTTTGCAGGAAATCTTCAAAATCGTGATAAATCTTCTTTCTATCTACTCAGCGTACGCGCAGCTAGTCACAGCAAAACACAATATTTCCTGCATCGTAGATAGAGTCGTCCCCTTCGGGTTAATCGATAACTTTCCATCTATCAAATTTTAACCAAAAGTTAAAATAATCCACCAAATGGTTCAGAGCCTTAATTATCTTAAAGATAAATATTCCAGCTCAAACCATTGTCAGTGGTGGGACCATCATCATCATTCAACATTTCCACTAGGCGGCGCTAATGTACCATTTGACTTCTAATAGGTAGATTACGTCAACGTGAGAGCTCGACTAGATAGCAGATTAAAGTCTTCAACAAAGTTGTTCAGATTGGCTGCTCCCTTGAAAATTTCTTCCCCAGGTGGCACTAGTTTGACCAGTTTGACTTCTAATTGCTTGCTATAAGTTGACCGCTCGACTAGATAGAAGCATAGAGGTAACTCTAAGACCAGAAGGTCCCGAAGAAACGTGCTCAACTTTTTGGCGCAGCTCTGGTACTATCTTCGGTCCCAAGCTAATCGATGCACCCCTCGAAACACAGGAAAATCCACGAACCCCTCATTTTATCTGTCAAACTTTCATAGTACTAGAATTTCGACTAAAATGGGGTACGTTAATCGATTTGCTTGGGACCAATAGGCTAGTCAAGAAGTGAGCCAATTTAAAATCGTTAGTTTCCACTATTTGAAAGCAGCTTGCTGTCTTCGTCAAAGTTGCTGTTTCAGACCCTGCTATTCGGAAAACTTATCTTCACAAGTACGTTATTGGTAAATCAACGTTGGCACTCGTGGATAATAGAAGAACTATGAAAGTGATGATGGTTTCAAAATTTTCCACGGGGAGGTATACGAATGCAATCTTAAATTGGTTTTATTTTGCAAATGGAGCATTTTATTTAATTCTGGTTGCTACAGTGGTAGAAAAGCTGATATCTATGTAAACACCTAAAAATCTGAAAAGAAATTATTTTTTTCTATTTCATATGTCTATTGAGTAGTCCTTAAGTTTTCTACTAACGTAGCATCAACCAGATTCAAATTAAATGCTCCATTTGCAAAATAAAAGCATTTTAAGATTGAACTCGTATACCTCACGGTGTAAAATTTTGAAACCATCATCACACTCATAGTTCTTCTATTCTCCACGAGTGCCAACTTTGATTTGCCAATTCGCTGGCTTGCCCTGAACAAAACTAAAGAAATTTCGGTACATTTTAGCCTCAAAAGGCAAACTCCCCGTTCGCTTAAATGCCGATTTATTAGCAATTAATCACAGTTCACAGTAAAAACAAACGTTACCGGCGGCTGTCAATATTTTCCCGTTTTTAGTAGGCGCAGTTTTAGAAGTTGATTAGTTTTTTTTTTGGACGGAAAATGTTACTTCACTGCGCGAAGGGTGAAAATCTGATTACTTCGAAGCTAAAATTCACTACGGTAATAAATACTTGTCTGCTGAATATGAATAGTTAAATAGGTATGCGTTTTTTTTTATATAGAAGTAGTAGGTATATAAAATTCCGTTCCAAGAACTGCGGACGGATTGCAATATTTGTGTTGCGCCAGTGCTTCCTGGATGGCTTCTACCCGAAATGTTGAATAAGAATGACATCTAATCCGAATCGAATAAAATTACTTAACATGACCAATAAAATCACTTAAATTAATGTGTAAAAACAAAACAAAAAATTACTAACAGCTAACAGAAATAAAACGTAGTAAACCTCTGAACAAGTCTGTTCCTTTGGAACCGTTTCTTAAATAGCCAATTTTGGACGGAGGCCCATAAAAGTGACAACTGAAAGTATCTATGTAGCAAAACAGCGGAAAAGTATCATGAGCAGATGGCGCCCTACTACAGTAGAATTTCCGCATTTAATGTTCGCTTCTCAAAGTAGGCCGTAAAATTTTCAATGGTCAAACAGAAACGTATTAAAATAACGAAAATCGATCAAAGCAAGCCTCGACTTGCGTTTTAGTCTAACTATTTATAAATAATATAATATGTTCTCTTTGTAGTTAGTTGTGATGTGAGTTTGTACATTTGTTAAATTTTTTGGAGCTGGTATGCTGCTTTCAACCAGCAGACTGGAGACAGCCGTAAAGAGCTTCTGATGAAGTGTGTTTTGTTTACGAGCTAGTGAATTGGTGCAGCTAATAGTTATGATCTACGACAAACTTGCACTCGAGGATGTTTGTATTTGTATATGAATATGAATATAAAATGAAGCTACGATCATATCCACAATACAAAGGACGGACTGACCTTGAAGTTGCTATTGATGAGTGCCACGTCAATAAATCGCCACTCATCAATGAAATCCATTCATCTAGTACTAGGTTGCTACGATTGAAACACAAAAGGAAACCGTATTCTATCCTACATCTGGATAATTACCCGAGATTAGCTTAGATCGAGAAAAATGCTACCAGCGCGTCAGACTCGCGCCCCTTACTTATGCTACACTTCGGTGTCGTGCGTTTGGATGCGGACCTTCTTGACACTGCCGTTGCGCGAAAGTCGCGGAGATTGGTTCGACCCGGAATAGCCGGGATTTTGGATTCCCAGCCCGTCGGCACTGCCCGGCGGTCGGGGTTTCTTCAGACTCGATCGCAGCGGGGTTCGCGCCGTGCTGACCGTCGAACCCGACACCGACGTCACGGTGGTGTTCATCGATTGGACACTTCCGCTGACGGTGGCACTGCTACCGGTGTACGGTCGACCCGATGAATCCGTTACTGAAATACCTTGAAAGGACTCCCATTAAACTAAACTTTCTCACCCAACACAAACCCCAGTAAACTTACCAACCCGACTGCCTCTCCCCCGCGGCGTATCCCGGTAGCCCGGATTGACCACTGTCGTCGGTGGGGACCGCCCACTGCGGCCGGATACCGTCGGTAGCATCGTTGGATCTCCACTGGGCTTACGTGCCAGAATCAGATCATACACGGCCAACATGGCAAGACAAATTGCGAGCACAACCACGGTCAGTTGTACGTAGAACGAAGCTCCGCGGGTCACCGAGAACTGACCGCGGCTATTGTCGGCCGTCACACCGAACATGATGACCGCAATCAGTGCCAGTACTGCACCCACCAGCGCCAGCAGTAGCTTCAGAACGACTAGAGTAGTGTATCGCATGACGACCTTCTCGCGGGACGAAATCATCGCGATCTGCAGTATGCACAGGATGCAATAGAGCCCGAACGCGATGCAGGCGAACGTCGCCAGCAAACCGGCAACGTAGATGGCATCTGCAAGAACGGTATGAATGAAACGGTTTCCCAGTCATCATCGAACAGGAACACTTACGGGATGGTCTGAAGTAGGATACCTCGGGACCGCATTTTTCGCGATAGCTATACGACAGCTGCCGGCATATTTTCCACGGTCCAAAGTAGCCCTGGTCTTCGTAACCTAAAAGTAAGAGTTGATCAGTGAATTTGATGACAACCAATGATGACAACCGAAAACGTACCAGCTAAATTTCGGAAGCGGCCCCACACGGGCAGCCCGACGGCGGTGGCACTCAGAGCGAAGCACGTAAATCCCAGACAGGTCACGATGGCAGCGTAGATACTGGGCGCGATTGCTGCCATAGCACCTCAGCATTATTCCGGGTGGTGTGGTGTGGTTGGCAGGGCGGGGGTTCCGTTACGTGTGTTTGGGTGTGAAGGGCCAACGGTGACTCGTGCGTGCGGCTCGTTCGTCTTCGTTTTGGTGATATTTGCTATTTACTGGACGCACGTGAAGTAAGAAAAAGAGAAAAAATAAAGGTTGCGGTTATTAAAGGTCGTTTAAGCCTAAGAGGCAGAGGAGACAATAGGGGGACTTTTATGAAGCAATTTTCTGTCAATAGCAAACCAGCGCCTGATTGGTCGGTAACAGCATGGAATATATTTTCTTGTATTTTAACAGTCGACTGCCCATAATGAAACAGTTTTTGCACGGTCGTTTCCGCGAGAGAAGAAGACCACATGACAGACAAAAAGAAGCCAGTTGTCTCCTCTTCCTCTTAGGTTTAAGCATGTGGGTGGATCAATAATTGACGAGTTTCAACTTGATGAGAATGTACTGAATGGGTTGACTAATCTAGGTTTCGAAATTCCTATTTTCTTCCGATCGAATTTCTCTATGTCTACCAAATTTGATAAACAAATTCGCGATTCATTGGTCAGAATCTTCGTAGCTTTGATAAAATTACCACTTTGAGAGCAAATTATAGAATTACAAGGTTCTTTTGAGATGAACACAGAAGTTGTGACCGGCCATGTTTTGTGGCATTTCAATTTAAGATGACTATCATTCTGCAGAGAGCATTGCGCATTCCAACTGAAGGCTCTATCCCTTCTCATAACAATGTTCATCCAGTATTTGGGAGGAAAATTATCTGATCGGCTGGTCCTTGTACTTTTGGCTGTTCACCAGCCAGGGGTGTACGGTTTCCTTGATCTTCCTCAGGAGAATGGTCCGCGACTGGAACCATTCCTGCTGCCTGGCTTCCATAATAGTATTCGCAATCCAACGCCTGACGTCTAGGAGGGGTACGTTCCTGGTGTAGCGGGGATGGGATGCACCAGATCCCGCCAGTCTGTCCGCAGCTTCGTTTCTGGGAACACCGCAGTGTCCGGGGATCCACATAAAGACGGAGCGTACCCTGTAATGGCTTGTATCCAGGGGTGGCTCGGGGCTTCGGCTTCCAGCGCTTGGATGACGCTGTGTGAGTCAGTTTACACGAGGATCGGTTGATCTGCCGAAGTTATGGCTGCGTCTAGAATAGCTGCGGCTTCAGCGGAAAAGACGGAACACTCCTCCGGTAGACTTTGACTCGTTGCAGTGTTCGGTCCTGCCACTCCGAGTCCAACTCCAGCCCGTCACCGTGAAGCTCTGCAACAGAACGTCTCAAAGCTTCAGAGTGATCTCCGGCTTGGAATCCACTATTAATCCGCTTATCTATTTTGACGACGTTTGATCGCCAACTCTTCTCTCCATGCCAGTGGACCCTGGCCACCGGGGGAACGTCACGATTGGCTGCAGTGCAGAGGGCTCTATTCCCCTCGTTGAGGAGAAAGACCCTTTCGTTTCCGAATGTCTTAGCAGCGAGGGCAGCGGCTTTCGTAGCAATGGCTGCGGCGTCTGCAGGCGTGGAAGGGAGAAGGCTGGATACGATGCGTTCGTAGGTATTGTATACCGGAGCGAGGATGTGGTTGAGCTTCTCGGTGGCTAAGCAGGTTATTTCGAGGCAGTAGAAAAGTCGACCGTCGATAACAGCCCGAGCGACACGAAGGCGTATCTCACGGTTGCTGGAGTGATGCGGGCGGGAGATTGTCCTGACTATGTTGATGCGGCTATGACAGTTTTCTTTCACCATCCTGAAGTGCTGGTTGAAGCTTAGGGTGCGATCCAGTACTACCAACAATCAATACGAAACTAACGATTTTAAATTGGCTCACTACTTGACTAGCCTATTGGTCCCAAGCAAACGATTAACGTATCCCATTCTAGTCGAAATTCTAGTACTACGCAATGTTTGTTTTGATTCGCTATGAAAGTTTGACAGATGAAATGAGGGGTTATTCGTTTTTCCTATGCTTCGAGGGGTGAATCGATTAGCTTGGGACCGAAGAGAGTACCAGAGCTGAGCCAAAAATTTGAGCACGTTATTTCGGGACCTTCTAGTCTTAGAGTTACCTCTATGGTACTTCCCCCAGAACACACACTGTTTTCTTGACCGGAATCGGATGATCTTGGATGGTGGTCCTCGAATCAGATGGCCCGAGTGACAGATATGGCACCGTACACTCTTCAGCGCGGAGAGCTGGAAACCAACCGAAAGCGCCCACCTGCTCACGGCAGAGACTGCTGCCTGAGCTATGTTCCTGGTCCGCTTAGTCGTTCGTCCCGTTACGACGATGAGTATGTCGTCGGCATAAACGATTACGTGCACGTTCTTGGGCACTCGGCTGAATACCCCGCTCATTGCCATCAGCAATAGCGTTACCGCTATGACGGATCCCTGGGGCACTTCAGTTTCCTCGGAGAACGGATCCGAGCGAGTGTTCCCGACAGTCACCTGGAAGGTACGATCAAGGAGGAAATTCCGTACAAAATGTGTGATGTGACCTTCCAGGTCCCAGCCTATGAGCTGCCTGATGACACCAGGTGTCCATGTCCTATTGAACGCCTTTGAAATATCAAGGGAGACTAACTCCGCATGGTAAGCGTTGTCCTGGGCTTCCTTAAGTACTTTCCCGAGGGCTACAAAGTAGGTGGAGGAGCCGTGTCCTTGCCGGAACGCAAGCTGCCGTTCGTCAAGGAGGCCGTTTGTCTCCAGGAACTGCCTAAGACGACGATTTACCATTCTCTCCATCACTTTTGCCGCGCAGCAAGTGAGCGCAATCACTCGCCGTGTTGTTCTTCGGAATGGGCACTACCAAGCTTTGTTTCCAGAGGTCCGGGTACGAGTCAGTGAGCCATAGATCGTTGAAGAGGGCGAGTAGCCTCGTTTTTTTCGTCGAGGGAGAGGTTTTTTAAAAACACCGGGTATCCAAACTGAAGCTACCGGAAGGTAAGAGCTTCGTTGATCTGGAGAGCAGGAACATCGGGTGGAATTCGCAGGTCACGAATACTGCTTGTGGAAGGTTTGACGCGCTGGATGAAATCGTTGTCGTTGCCACTGACAGCAAACAGGCCGGCATTGCCGGCAAAATATTTTCCTAATTCGTCGGCGATGTCCGCCGCTTGCCACTCAGAGTGTTGACGCGATTCCACAATTCACTCGACGATTGGGATTCGTCGATTGAATCCAGGAAATCCATCCAGCTAGATCGCTTTGCGTCACGGATCACCTGTCTGCACGAGAGATTGCGTTCTCGGTAAAACCATAGAGGTAACTCTAAGACCACTGGGTCCCGAAGAAAATCATTATTATTTTTGGCTCACTCAGTACCAGAACAACGGTCCCAAGCAGTCCCAAGCTATTTCACTCACCCCTGCATGTTCTGCATGAATCCACACACCCCTGATGTTATCTGTCAAACTTTCATAGCGAATCAAAACAAACATAGTGTAGTAATAGAATTTCAACTAGAATAGGGTACGTTAATCGTTTGCTTCGGACCAATAGGCTACTAAAGTGGTGAGCCAATTTAAAATCGTTATTTTCGTATTGATTGTTGGTAAAACTTCAGCGCTTCCTCCCTACCAGGGTCGTCTAAGGCGATACGCTTAAGCCGGCGTAAAGCTTTGCGTCGCGCTTTCACCGCACATTTGGTATCCTCGTTCCACCAACGTAGTGCTTTTCGCCCAGGTACGCTACCCGTCCTTGGGATAGATACTGTTGCAGCTTCGTAGAGAACTTCCGTGAAGCTGGAGATATCGTTCCTCGTAGCGCCATCTGGAGATGGCACATCGGGAAGAACCACCGGTGGGCTCGAGCAGCAGACCGAATGAAACATTACAGGCGGAAAAAATCCCCCCATCCAAGGCAGGGGTGATCCAACGGGAGAATGGAAGTTTTGGCAGGTTTGCGGATAGGTGATTCGTGGGAAATATTGGCTGGTTGTGAGCAGGTGACCCTGCTTGACTCCGGTTCGATGGCTAAGGTATGTGTCGATTGGGACCAAGCCCCACCAAGGAGAGGTGGAGGTTTTTCATCTAGGCTGCAGCAGTGAGTACAGTGCAAATTTTAAACCCTCGCATACACGCCACATATATGTGAAAACCCACACCCACAGGACACAGAAAATGGAAATGAATGTTTTAGAAAATGTGAATGTTCCTGTGTTTGCATACTTTGTCCGCGGAGCCCCTCCGAATACCCAGTAACATGCCGGCCCTGCGACACAGTTCAGGGGTCTCATACTACTGAGTTAGTTACCCGGGAGTGTTTGGTCATGTCATAGTCACAAACAGCGAGGGGGAGGACAAAGCTAAGTAGATAATTGACGTCTAAAATTGATCCCTTTCACCACATAACATATGTGGAACTCGATCATCAAAAATCGACCCCATTTTAGTGATGTCAAGTGGTATCGAAGGACATCGATCTGTCAAATTGATTACACCAGCTGTAAAATGAGAAAGGGGATCAAGGGGCTTTTCAATTCTTTTGAATGATTCTACCGTGGTTTATAATTCTATGTGTTCCTAACACTTCTGAACTCATGTTTTACTATTTCCTTACCCATTTATGTGCTTTATTTATAATTATATAGCTAACTTTAACAAATTGGAACCAATTGCATCAAACTTTGATTTCATTAGGTTTCGTAGGAGGAAAAACATGACTGCGTAAATTTGGAATTAAGTGTTTACATTTTGAAGTCTAGAGAGAAGCAGCAAAATTTGGAACAAGAATCAGAAGTACCATTTGAAAAATATTCAGAGTTTTGAGCTGACTTTGCATCGTTCCATTCGCAAGAATTTTGTAAGCAGAACGATTAATGAAATCGAGTGCTTATCGATACCTGCAATATCCAAGATTTCCCTATGTTTCTCAATTGCCGTCAAATGAAAATTTCTTCAAAAATCCCAGCAAAAATAACTACTCCATACAACCATAACAAACTCTTTTTCGACCACTATGGCTAAGGTTCAGGTTGGGACTATTTACTAACGAAAATAATCGTTAATGTACTTCTTCTTCTTCGCATTTCAAGCTTATTGCATATCGCATATTAGCTTATTGCGTGCTCTCAACTTTGTGTTCTAGATGCACTTCCACAGTTATTAATTG